ATGATCTGTCAGCTTCAATTTCTTTCTTTTTATACTGGTCAACTATTGGCACTAGCCATAGTTATTTCATAAACAACTGCTAATACTTTAGTGATATAATTGTATTTTACGTTACATGGACTCGGCCACTCGGGTACCATGTCCGACACGGGTACGTGTCCAAGCGTCCGACTTGGCTATTATGTGAAAAATTCCATAATTTTGACCCAAAAATTCCAATTTTTTACATTACCCACTATCAAAGGAAATCATCCATAAAATACCCAGACCTGGTAGCTGCTATTTAAACCATTTTCCAAAATGTGGGCCCCAATTTTGCTACAGAGAAAAATTTCTTGGTTGAATCAATAAAGCAACAGTGTACCCATCTTGTCCAATGTAACAGTACTAACCAAATTTCACCTGATAAACACTAACTTCAACACAAAGCTGGTAAAGTTTAATCCATCATCACGGGTAGCTTCAAGTTCCCATCTAACCTCCGTTTGTACTCATATACATACATTTTGCCGATCCAGAACCAACTATACATATAACCCTAAAGCCATTATGGAATGTCTAAATATTCAAAGTTACAGAGCAATCACTTTAATGAATCGGATTTCTAATGAGAAGAACAGGTACCTAATATAGTGAGCTAAATGCAATCTAATTGCCTTGAAAATGTTTAAGGGCTGTAAATGACTCTATTAACTATTAAGAGCAGGCTATTGAGAAATCAAAGATGCTCTTATATATATATTCATTTTTATGGATAAGTATGCTTATACATTAATCAATTTGGAAGTCATGAACATCACTTGATCGATCATCTTCAATCAAATAAAAAAGAATATGCAACAAATTATGATTACTACACCACATGTTTCATATACAAAAAAATATTACTAGTCTAAATTTCACCACAAATATATTGCAAATACTACATGTTTTGTTGCTTTTTTATTCAGGAGGTGAACAAAGCCTTGATTCGAGCTACATCTAAAAAATCAATAAAGATAGAAAGGTGAGTCAGAAGCAAGGCAAGTTGAGAAGTCACGTGAGTAAATGGCTTTAAAGTTTATGAGCCAACAAGTAATCTCACTAAAAAAATAAAAACCACTTCCTCCCTCTACCCCCTCACCCCCTCCCTAGCTACATGCAACGCTAGCCGTTACGGTGAACATCCATTCATGCCGGCAAATATAATGGTGAATGTGCATCACGCCAGTGAGTAAAAGCCTTATGCTTTCAAGCTCCATAGCTGTCTCAAAGTACCTCAATTGCAAAATTAGGGGATTTTTGTTCTTTTCTCCTCTTTTAAAACTTCACTCGACACTTACTCCCTGGCGTGTCGGGTGTCATAACATAGACCATAGTCACCGTACTTATTCATGAAAATCGGAAAACACCCTTCGATATATTTTAACTCGCCTCAAAACACTTTCCACTCTCAATGCCCAAAAACAAAAACTAACCTTTCTCTTTTCCTAACAACTCAATTACACCCTAACTCATTTATAGCGGAGGGTTCTTTTGTGACACAATAAAAATAACATGGGCAGAGCAAGAGATTAAAATAAATACAAGGAACAATTTTTCAATCAATTACTGATGTATAAACGTTTCATCCATATATTTTTTATTAAATAAAAAAATTGAATTCGCCAAATTAATAACATTACTACCAATAGCATTGAAAGCCTCCATCACTCAGTAATGAAACAAAAAAAAAACACAGAGAATTTACTAGCTATAACATCAATCTCATTCAATAACCTAACACAGTTACATCAAAAATTCTGTTTATGAACCCCAATTCTCAAACAAATCGAATTCGCTAAATGACAAGAATTCATCAAAATTCATCAAAAAAATACATATTTACGAAGAATAATATAAAGTTTGGTAACAAAATAACTCACATCTTATTGACAATTCGTTGGCGGGACTCCGGCAGAAGTTGACTCCGCCAATCGCCGCCATCCATTGGAGGTGGAGCTTCATTTTGAGCAGGTCGCCAATTATTCGAATCCATTGCTATAAATCAGATATAAATTATTAATTAATATAAATGATTGATTAATTGCACCTCTAATTGAATTCAATCAGCTGAAATCCCCAAATTCTGGGAAGAAACATATGAAAATGATGATCGGAAATCGGAAAGGAAACCCTAGAAGAAGAAAGGTGGTGTTGAAGTTCTTGGAAGAAGAGGAGAGAGAAAATTGGTTTTAAATTATGGTCAAATAAAGGAAAAACAAGAAGAACAGCTTCTCAAGTCTTGCTACTTCGTATTTAATACGATTGCTGGGTAAGACCTTGTCAAGTTGTTAGCCTACACTAGCATTAGGATGTTATATCAGGTTTTAAAAATGAGAACCGAAACCGGAGACGGAACCAGTTCCAAAAAATTGGAATCCGGTTGTGGCATTATGGGTTCTAAGTCCGGACTCGGCAGGTCCATACCTGGGTCCGAAATTGGTTAATGAATTTTTTTATGCTCTTCCATAAAAGATTCCTATCAATTCCTTTTTTTTTTTTTTAATTACAGCATTTTAATTGGTAAGAAATTAATTAAATTTGGTAAAATATTATGTAACTAGGGTTTGTTGGAAATCAAAAAGTGATACTATGTGAATATTTCACATAAATTAAATGCGAGAAGAACTGTGAGAAAAGGGATTATTAAAATTAAAATAATAAAAAGTTGGGAACGCCCGGTGGCGTTGGATAAGATAATTTATAGTACAAATATTGAATTAAAATGAACATTAATTACACTTATCGACGCGTGATTTTGTCATGAATTCCTAAATTAATACCACTTTAGGAAGTATTATAAATGTTAATCTAACGCTCCGAGGGCATCTATTAGCAAGATCCTAAAGGTATTAGGGCATGTTCTCATACGTTGAAATTCAGTTCAATTCAATTCAGTTCAGCTCAGCTCAGTTCAGTTCAGTTCAGCTCCTAATTTCCTTCTCTTATAAAATATTCATTTCATTTCACTTCAGTTCAGCTCAGTTCAGGTTCAGCTGAGTTCAATCAATGAGAACAGACCCTTATTGTATTATCAATCTAAAATATTTGGTTGTAAAAAAAACAATTTTAAATATGCATGGATAAGTGTGACACAAAAATGGGATGATGTATATAGTAATAGTGAACTGTATTATCCTTAAAATAAAATTCAAATAAGGTGTGACTTGCGAATAATGTTGCAAATTTTCGATGCCATTTACGAATTTTGCAACCAACAGTTTGGCAAATCAAATTGATTTTTTTATTCGTGTCATGATACTTTTTTTTTACAAAAATTAGCACTGCTTTTTTTTTTTTCTTTTTTAACTAGATTATTCCCGTGCAATGCACAGTTTTAACAAAAAAAAATTGTAGTGTAACACTTGTATATACAATTAATCTTTCAATTTTGATATAAGCTCATTGGAAGGAGATTTCTTGAAATGAATATACGACTATACATAGTAGTTTAGATATTTCATGAATTTTTTGGACGTTTGAATATTAGTGATAAGGAATTGAGGAGAGGAAATTATACGGGGTAGATCTTTAAATCAAAAGAAAGGTATAAAGTTGCTATTCAATTTACTATACTCCGATTTTCTAGATTAAAGTTGTTGATTTTTTTATTTTTTTTTCTGATGAAAAAAGTTGTTGAAAGCATTTACTTAGCTTGTTTATGAAATATCACAAAAAAAATAAAATAAATAAAATTAAATAAAAATAAATATCAAAATTAAAAGTATCACAAATAAATAATGACATCATCAATGGTTTTAGGCGGGAAAATATTTCATAAGAAAACGACACGTATCCAGTTTTGAGGAGAATTGATGTGAGCAATGTTTTGTTTTAGTATTAGATAATAGAATAGATTTTGGTTATGAAAGCCCGAAACATATAAGGGTGTAGCTACGGAGTATATTGAAAAATGTCATCGGTAATTTGAATTCAAAGCAATGTTTTAGTTTTTTGTATATTTAAAGTAAAGTAAATTATGCATATTTAGCTTTTAAGTTTTTTGGGTAATGAATTTTTTATTTTTTATTTTTGACAATTTTTATTTTTTTAAAGGGTAATGAAGTTATTGTGTTGGAATTTTTTTTCTTTTTTTACAAGAGTGAAGTTTTTATTTATTATTATTATAATAAGCAAATGTTGGTTTTTATTCACAAAAGATTGTTATGGGAAGTGCAAAAATCTTATTTGGTTTTGTGTTAGTCCGCAACATTTTGAGTAGTTGGGTGATTGAGTGATTCAAAGTTGCTATTTTAAGTGATTCAATAAGATTTTTAAGCTCACAAGTCATTTTGGAATAATGATATTCGTTTAGAATGATTCATTACATCAGTATCTTTTCATCTAACTCAGGATGATTTATAATTAGAAGGTTGGATGAAACACTCTATTAGATAAATTATCTTAGATTAGATCAAAAGATCATTATTTCCAAAGTGGCTTGTGAACCTTAAAACTAAACTCACAGAATCACTTACTATTACAATAACAACTTTGAATCACCCACCTACCCAAATTCTTAAGAAGTTGCAAACTAATACAAAAACAAATAAGATACTCAAACTTCCCAAAACAATCTAAGCAAATAATAATGAAAAAGAAATAAACAACATTTACTTATTCATAATCAAATAATTTCAACACAAGAACTCCAACAATTTAGTACCCTAATAATTTGAAAACTAACACAATCTATCAATACGAGTGATTGGTAATACTACTAGTCTACTACCCAAATTATTCACCTTTGTTGGAAATTGTTGAACACAGTACCAACACTAAAAAATGTCTAGGTATGATTTTCACATTTGTTGGAAATTGTTGAACACAGTACCAACACTAAAAAATGTCTAGGTATGATTTTCACAGCGTTGCAATAGACGCAATTGAGTCGCGGCTCACAAATGACTCAACAAGCAAGAACACTAATAAAGGGAAAGTGTGTGTGCGTGTGTTTTTTTTTTTTTTTTTGACGGGAATAAAGGGAAAGTTTAATTTTTTGCATAAACTAAAAGAAGCCTTTAACACAAGGGTAGTACATTTAGCCTACCAATCTCCATAAGTGCTTTAGGCGATTAATCTCCTAGGGCATAAAGTACAAAATAATTGAATGCCCTCTTTAATTCACTCCTCTTGGTTATATACAAAGTAATTACAAAATAATTTTGTTATCTTCCTAATTGTTCGCTGTCAGTTCTCCTCGTTAATTGGTGTAGTGTGTTGCGGCTGCTGGCTTTGTGGTGGCTGCTCTGCCTCATCAATTGACAAATCTTCAAATGGGCAAATAATGCACAGATAATTGACAGTCAGTATAGAGTAGAAAAGATCTTATTCCTTATCATATACGAAGTACAAAACAGTATATAAATATATCAAGAAAACACACTATATGCAACTCAATCCAAGTAGAAGAGATTCATAGAACACAAACAAAGTACAAAACAGTATATAACTTTATCAAGAAAACACACTATATGCAACTCAATCCAAGTAGAAGAGATTCATAGAACACGTAGACATGAACAACACAAATAAAGAAATTAGTTCCTCTGTATTTTGTAGTAGTTTTTTTTTAATCCTTACCTTCGAGAATCTAGGCAATATATCAATGACAAGCTTGCCTATATTAGACATCCATTACCAATGTTTTGATTTAAACACAATCTACACAAAGAGAATAATCCTACTAAATATGAATACCTTCCAGGGGATTTCTGCTCGAAGAGTTAGAGGGCGAAGCATTGGGGACTGAATTATGAGATCGTGCCTCCATTGTGAGCATCTTCAATGATATCTTCCTCAGATAATCAGACTGAAATTGCAGTACAATAAGAAACGAGCAATGATACCCAAGAATTTTCAACAATGTCTAAAATATGAAGAACCAAACGCCGAAAATAAAATATCAAGATTAAGATATAAGCAACCACTTGAGAAGCATAAGATACCTGGCTCGTAGCAGCATTATATATCTTTTCTTCAAATCTTACGGCGATCTGCTTGAGTTCTTGCAGCCCTTCTTGGCCAGAATATGGGAGATGTCTCTTCAAAGTTTCCAGTCTACAATTGCAAAGGATTTTATATTAATAGCTTCACAACCAATTCTTAGTTGATTATAATACATAAACTTATAAGAAGCAGCCCTTCCACTCAAGAATCAAAAATCAAAGCACAATAGTATTTAGTATATCGAAGTTTCAATATTTGGTTTAATGTAGAAAGCTCTTGTTAGTCACTAGAGTTGTCAAAAGCACACCGACCTGACCCAATCCGATTCAGATTTGGACTCGCGTAGAGTGGTAGACATAATTTAGCATACTCAACTTTAAAAATTAATCCGATCCGAAATCAGACCCGATTCGGTCATCCAAATTGACACCTCTATTAGTCACTACTCTTTAAATCAATGATTTAACATCACTAACTATCAAAGGAAAACATCCAACATTACTACCAATAGCATTGATTCACTCAGCAAAGAAACAATAAAAACACATAATTTATCAGCCATAACATCAACTAATATCATTCAATAACCAAACACAGTTAAATAAAAAATTCTGTATATAAATCCAAATTTTCAAACACACTGAATTTGCCGAATTGCAAGAATTCATCACAAAAATATACACATATACGAAGTATAATATAAATTTTGGTAACAAAATAACTCACATCTTATTGACAATTCGTTGGCGGGACTCCGGCAGAAGTTGACTCCGCCAATCGTGACCATTCATTAGAGGTGGAGCTCCATTTTGAGCAGGTGGCAAATTATTCGGATCCATCGCAAATGAAATGAATTAGCTCTAAAATAATGCAAATAGTTGATTAATTTGAACTCTGGTTGAATTCAATTAGCTGAAATACCCGAATTCTGAGAGGAAATAGATGATCGAAAATACAAAAAGAAACCCTAGAAGAAGAACAGTGACTATTAAACAAAAAAAATAAGTTAGCATAAAAGTTCTGGAAAGAAAGGAAATATGGAATGGTTTATATATATATATATATATATATATTTTTTTAATTCATTTTTTTTTTTTTTTGGGAAAGTTCACGTTTTTTTTTTCTTTTTTTTCAAGGAAATATACAATTGCAAATTAATTTTCTTTTGTGTTGGTTGGATAAAATACATATTTATATCCTATTTTAACATTTGTTGTTAATATAAGGGTTTGTTCGTCATTTTCATTTGTTTGCTAGGGGTATCATTGTAAATTCAGTAATAAACTATGTAAATAGAGTTATCGAGAGTTAAGTTGGTTCTCATTATTGGGCATCAACGACGTTTGACAAGAAGACAAAACTAAGGATCTTCTCTCTCCTCTTCCAAGCTCACAATTTCTCTCTTTGTATGTTAACTCCATTGTTGAAAATCTTCCTTTGCAAAAAACACCTATCTAACTATTCCAAGTTTAACTTTTCCCTTAATTTTACATTTGTTTACTTAGGGTTTTCTTTAAATTCGACGGTGAAGCGGCTAGAAGGAAAGAGAAGGTGGAGAATAGAAGCTCAATTCTAGAGGTGATCAAAGTTAGCCCGGTCGGTTGGCCCGGCCTAAAAAACCCGCACGGCCCGATGATAACTTGTTATTTGGCATGATTTTAGGGTACTTTTGAACCTTGTTTTCGTTATTAATCGACATCAAAGTTCATTTTTTATCCTATTTTTATGCAAATTTTGTACCATCCATGTTTCACCGGTTGTTTGTGTTTTTGATGTAATGTAGCTATTTTTAGCACTATGGACATGATCAAGCATGAGTGAGCAAGGATAAGGGAAAGCTTGGTTGATAGAGCCATGGAGGAAGAAGGAGGAATGCCTTAAAGGGAAATGAAAAGCTTTTGGAGAACCTTGAAAGGTCGTTTGCGTAAGCGTCAACTTCAACCAACCATAACTTTGATCTTATCAACCTTTTGAAGCGATTCAAATTGGAGATTAAAGTTCGTCTCAAGAGCTTTCCAACGACTGGTCACAAGTCCATTTCCGACAAGAAACGTAGAAGTTACAGCTTCCCAAAGTTAAGCAGTCTAGGCAGGGCATCCTGCACGGACGTGCAAGATGATAGCACGTCCGTGCAAGTCTGCACGTCCGTGCCAAAAGCTGCACGTCCGTGCAGACCTTGGCAGAAGCTTCTGCCTCCATTTTGGCCCTCCTGCACGTCCATGCCAAACTTGGCACGGCCGTGCTTAGCCTTGCACGTCCGTGCCAAATCTGGCACGTTCGTGCAGACCTGCAGTCGAACTCCTTCCTTATTTTCTCCGTCCTTCTTATTTGGGGGTCATATAAATACCCCTTTAGAGCTCATTTGTACGGGGATGCAGTTTTTTTAGAGCTTTCCTCTTAGTTTGTAGTCTTAGAACATTAAATTCTCAAATCATTAGTTAGTTCTTAATTTTTAGCTTGGAAGCATTCAAATTCAATCATTGTAGAAGACAAAATCCACCATTGTTGCTCACTTTGAAGCTTCATAGTAACCATTTCTTACTCATCTTTTCTACTTCTCTTTACTTTGTTGTTGATTACTTGCTTAATTCTTGCATGCTTAGATTGTTAATTAGCTTAATCCTTAGTTTGAACTTGTTCATGAATTGCTTGAAACCTCTAATTGCTTTAACCTCCATGGATTGTGAGTAGTCTAAATTCTAGGGTTTGGGTAAAACCCTCAATGTAGTCACTAATTACTTGTTGCATGTGCTAATTTGGTTGTTGTGGGATGATGATTAGTTGAGCTTAAGTGGTTTAATTGCTTAGTTCTTGTATATGGCCATTGCTAGAACTATTTATCCAAGCTTTCTCAACGAAGGATCGAGAGATGAACTTGAGTTAGCTCCCTTATGCTTAATTGACCCGAAATGCCATGAGAATAGGGATTACCGGTCAAGGGAATGTTTATGTCATCGTGATTATGCTTTAACACTTGTTTTATGCTATGTAACCACGAGAGTAGGTTGTATTCACGATTCAAGTAATCCCTCTAGCTTGAGAGAGTAGTTGGGTGCTTTAGATGACTTCCCCTAATTTGTCCCATTAATTTACCTTGATTGTAGCATGCTAATTGTGATTTGTGATGAAGTTGAGTGGTATAACCCGAGCCCTAGATTCCTCTTAATATTGTTAATCTCCTCTTAGCTTTAGTTGAGTTGAATTAGAAGAAGTTACTCAAAACCAACCCAATTTAGAATTCATTTAGCTTATTTAAACGGTAGTACTCGGTGGTTGATTCAACGCCTCTCTTGGGTTCGACCCTTTCTTACCCTTACTATTGTTAGTGAGACCAAGATAGGAATCATTATCTTTGGTAGGCTCGACGACGGCCTATCACCCGACCATTTTAGGCAGATTTGGGCACAAAAATTCCGGCCCGAAGCTTAGCCCGACTCGAGAAGCGGGCTTAATTTTTTAGCTATCCGCCCAAATGCCCAATGATCACCTCTACTCAATTCATAAAAGGCGAGAAGGTGGAGTAATATCTAACAAGATCGTTGCGCATGGTTAATAGCAGATGAGATAATCACTGGCCGCAAGTTCATCCTCTTTTCACTTTCTTTAGTTATGAAATGCACTTGATGGTGAATGAATGAAAAGTACAGTGTTGCTAACATCGTCACTGAGCGTTACTAACGAATAAAAATAAAGAACTAAGTCCACGTGGGCAAGAACATAAAGTTGTAATATTTGAATAATATAATGTGATTTCCTAGGTAATTATTTTCAGAATTGTCACTATATAAACAAAAGTTGTTAATACAAGATATTAATGGGAGCTTACTCGTTTGGTTGCATAAAAAAAAAAAAAATAGGAGTGGGAATGTGAGGATAGATGAGAGGGAATAGGGAAGTAAAAAAGGTAGGTATGGAGGAGGGAAGAAAATGTGGCTTCTCTATTTTTGTAATTGTAAAGGAAAATGTTTTCCATTTTTAAGGACGTAATTTTCTACCCTTGGGAAAATTGTTTTTCGATCGTTCCCAAACCAAACAAAAGGAAAATGGAAAAAAAAGGAAAATCATTTTCCATTAAACATTTTACATCAAACTATACGAGGCCAAAGAGTAATTGATTAACCAGTTATTTAAAACTAATAATCTTAATTACCATTGTACCATTTTGAGAAACAATTTTGTTAATTAATAGAAGAAACTAGGGCAGCCTTCGAACGCTTGACTCCTTTATATCCTCGTTGCCTATTTGGCCTCGTTTTGGATGAGCACACTCAATGTTTAGAAAATGGCCAAAGTAGAATTAGTACGTTCGTATTAATTTGTAGTTAATTTATGTTATTTTTTTGGTTAATTTTGAGCTCAATTTGGACTCTTGTGAGCTAAAATGAACAATAAAACCTTAGCAATAAAAAAAGAATAATTGCACGCAAATCCATACATTTTTTGATAAAGCAAAACAAGACACTTAGGGGCCGTTTGGTTCGCACAGGGTAATCGGAATGGAATGAACTAAGGGAATGAAGGAGAATGGAATGAAACCCTTTCCACATGGTATGTTGTTTGGTTTACAAAAATCACCACCACCACCCAACAACCCATCTTCCTACTTTTTTAGCCACTCCACCGCCCAGCCACGACCTCCCCCACCCCTTGCCGCCCGTCGTCGATCCTCCCCCACCCCTCGCCGCCACGCAAAACTTTCCCCCGCCCACGTGAAACCCTAGAAAACGATCTCCTCCCTCTAAAATCGCCGGTCGTCCCTTCCCCTAGCCACCAAGTGTCGAGAAAACTCAATCTTGCTTTGTCTTGAGGTTCGATTTCGGGGTCTAGATGCGAGTGTGTTCAAGTGAGTGAGCTGCTGCGAATTCCGGCGAAGTCAAAGATGCGAGTGTCTTGAGGTTCAATTTCAGGGTCTAGGCGAATTCCAGCGAGGGATGGGGAGCTACTGCGTGTCTCGGCGAGGAGTTGGGTAGCTGCGGCGAATTCCGGTGAGGATTTGGGAAGCCGCGGTGAATTCCGGTGAAGAGTGGGGAAGCCACGCGAATTCCGGCGAAGGATAGGGAGTTCCGACAAGGTGGCTGGGTGGTGGGGGTAACTAGTTGTTGGTGTATGTATGGTGGTGTGGTGGTGGCTTAGGAAAGGGAATGGAAAAGTCGGGGGGGTGGGGAATCAACGTGGACTGATTTTGGGTAAACTTAACAATAAAAAAGGGTAATGGGAATGAAAAAATTGACAAACAAACAACAACAAAGGGAATGAGACATGTTCATTCCCTTTCCCTTTGATTATTAACCCCAACCAAACGGCCCCTTACTTTAATTTATTATTGATTCTGAGCTCAATTTGGGTTCTTAAGGGATAAAATGATCCCTTAAAACCTTTGTAAAGCATTTTTCGACATGCAACTCAAAACCTCAAAACCTCTTCTCACAAGGGGTAAGAAAATTACTTAATAACTGACCACTAACGAAGCTCCAAGTCATAATACGGAGTATTTTTTAGTGGTAATAAAAGTCAAAATTTTCTAAAACATAAATAACTACGTAGTAAATAAAATAAAATAGAGCGAGTAACTTTTAATTTTAAGACCATATAGGTCGTTTCTATATTTCCATCTGATTTAAATCACCGTACAAATGAATGAATGATACAATTAACAATTTCGTTCATCAAATGACCGGTTACCCAACCTGAAGAACATTCCTCAAAAATAAATCCCGACTTTTTCCGGCGAGATCGATCGGAATCTCGTCGGATCTCCCGATCACTCCCTTAGGTAAACTTTTCTCTCTCCTCAAATGGCGTCCCAAATTCGATCATCAACTTCGAATTCAAAAATTCAGATGTTTTTTTTTTGCAGGTAATTTGAGCTACAAAAATGGAGTGGTCTACGATACAACATCTAGATCTTCGACATGTCGGTCGAGAAGCGAAGCCATTGCAGCCTCATGCCGCTGCATTTCATCCCAGTCAAGCCCTAATTGCTACTGCTGTCGGAAAATACATTATTGGTAAAATTGCTAAAACCTCAATTTGTAATTCTTAAAA